CAGCTATTCTTTATATTCCATGAAAATAAATGATACATTTTTGTCATCCTTTTAACAAAATTTTTGATTAATTTTATTTTAGTTGTGTCTGTTGTCAAAGCATATTTGTGGATTTGTCTGTTAATTAATAGTACTCATTAAGCACAAAAAGCCTATTAATGTTTGCTACTACAAGAGCGTACTTTGTTGTACTCTGGACAGTACATTGTTCTCTGATCCTGTTCTTTGGCAATATTCCCTCTTAGGTTCTCCAATTACCTTCTAAACATCTTTATGAAAATGTGCATCTACATAATTAATGGTATTAGTACCCATATTTTGTTGAAATAATAAACTGGCCTAAACTAGTCTTCATATTTCAACAAAGAGTATGGCCCAAAGTAACTTCCACATGCAGTGTGGCGGTTGGGCAAGCAGGGTGTAACCTAAGACTACAGGCCATAGGCGAGCAGAACAACAGTGAGTCACAACAGTCAGCCACTAGCCAAGTCCAGGCTGAAGGCTGCCATGTTATACCCAAATAAGGCAACTGGCAATGTGTACCAAGCAGAAAATAGCTGTTGGTCACTTCTGTCTCTTTGGTTATAAAAACAACTCATTATATTTTGAGACTAGGGTGCTGTGGATTCTTTAACATTTTTATTACACCATAGTGCCTGGTTCTATATTTTTTCCTTTTCTCTTTTTTTATGATTAAGTAAACATTACAAGGTTCAACTGGTCTCAATGTTTCAATTATTTATATTTTCTCGACTTCAATTTTTTTGTTGTTGCAGAATATTTATTTACACTGTAAAGATTCATCTCTGCCTAATGCACCTTTTGATTGGTTTAATAAAGAGCTAAATGGCCAATAGCTAGGCAGAAAAAAAATATGTGGGACTTCCCAGGGGAAAGACCTCTTGATTAGGACAGTCAATAGTTCGTCAAACCAAATAGCCATTCCATCAAAATTAACTTATAAGACTAACAAATGTTTTTTATTTTTTTTATTTCTTTGATTTTTCGAGGCAGGGTTTCTCTGTCCTAGAACTAGCTCTTGTAGACCAGGCTAGCCTCGAACTCACAGAGATTCAGATGCTTGCCTCTGCCTTCCGAGTGCTGGGATTAAAGGCATGTGAAACCGCAGCCCAGCCTAACAAATGTTTCTCATTTGATCAGTTATAAAGTGTCAATTTCCAGGTAGTTAGCTAAGATGGTCCAGCACTATAGATTCCTCTTCCAAGAACTTCAGATAAGTCTTTCATTTTCCCATCACACTGAGACTTGACAACAGCTAGTGTGGAGACCCAAAAATATGAGCCTATTTCCACCTTGTCTGAAGGTAAGCTTGCTCAAAGTTGTTACCATTCCACCCTGATCAAAGGTCAAAGAATTGGAACTTCTATTCCTTCTGTTCCTTCAAGGTTATTGTCTGCTTCCACCTCAAACAAAGGCCCCAATCTTGATTTAGATTAGAGAGTTCTGCTCTTTCAAGATTATTGCCAACAGATGTGGCTAATATCCAGACCTCGTATTTCAGGAGTAGAGAAGTAATTACGTTACTACCCCAAACAAAAGTCTAAGGATCCAACTAAGTTCCTACTTCCTTAAGGAGATAACAATGAATTCAACCCAGGGTTTGCCTACAAAATGTTTTAGTCTAGGGTGTGAGCATTACTTGTCTTGTTCTAGCAACAGAATGTTTAACACTGAATATAGCCCGCAACCTCCAACTGATATATTCATTTCATTGTATCATGATAATGCAGTTTTTTTTTGTTTTTATAATCTTACTCCTATCTTTCGGAGTCAGAAGTATTTTAAGCAAATGGGAACTAAACACAGGTAATTTCAGTAGTCACTGGAACTCCCTCCTGGTACTAGGTACTATCCTGTGTTTTCTGTTTTATTATTTACACTCATGTCTTCGTTCTCTTTACTATTTTCCTTTTCTTTTTTTTTAATTGATTTTTATTGAGTTCTACATTTTTCTCTATACTATTTTTCTACTCACCATACCCCTACCATGATAAGTGGTATTTTTGTCAAAGTTGATCTCTGACAAATAGCACCCAAAAATGCTTCTCATAAATAAGAACTCCAAAAATTATAAAGATAGATAATGGGTCTGGATATGTTATTAAAGCATTTCACAATTTTGTTTCCAATGGAATATCAAACATACAAGCATTCCCTATAATCCTCAAGGACAAGGAATTGTGGAGCGTGCACATGGCTCCTTGAAAACACAACTTCGAAAGAGAAAAGCAGGAGAATGATAGCTCAGTCACTACACAAGGCCTTAAGTTATGCACTTTTTATTCTAAGTTTTCTGAATATGGATGCTTGTGAGCAATCTGCCATGGGTAGATTTTGGCATGATGGCACTATGGTGACCTTTGCTAAAGCAAGGTAGAAAGACCCTTGCACGGGATTATGGAAAGGATCTGATCCTGTGTTAAAACAGGGTCGAGGGCATGTTTGTGTTTTTTCACAGAATGAGGATCAAACAAAATAGTTTCCAGAACATCTGGTTTGATGTGTCCAACAGAAGGGTACCAGCCTCGATCACACTGTAGCTACTAATGCCCCCACTGAAGAGCTGGAGTGGGCGCCTGTGTTCCTGACTTCCTCATACCACTATGATACAGGCCAAGCAAAGGAGTACTTGAACCAATCTCCTGATTTACAACAGCATGTAGTCTGAGAAGGGAAAGAAGATCGTGGTGACTGGTGATGCAGTTTTTTATCTTACTACTAGTTTTGGGGTCAGACGCATTTGAAGCAAGTGGGAATTAAATGCAGGTGATTTCAGTATTCACCAGAGCTCCCTACTGATAATATCCTATGTTTTCTGTTTTATTATCTTCACTCGTGTCTGCTCTCTTTACTATTTTTCTAACCCCCTCGCCCCTACCCTGGTAAGTGGTATTTTTGTAGAAGCTGGTCTCTGAAGAGCTAGCTCTCACAGGACTTGATCTTTATCTCATTTTTTCAGGGTCCCCTAAAGATGCTGTCACCACCAGACAACAGGAAATAATTTTAATAACACGATGCCCACACTTCTAAGAGGTGGAGTAGGTGGTTTTTGGTTGTTCAGTGGGTTATAGATGTTTGTCATCAGTTAGTGAGGTTGGTTGCAAGTTGTTATTGGCCATACTCAGGGAGGAAACCAAGCAAAGGAAATTAGATTCAGGGATCTCATTCTGAAAAGAAAAGGGGGGATAAAAGAATGATTATTGAATCTACTTTCAAACTGGACAAGCAATACTTGGGAGCTGGATGCCCACAAGAAAGACTACATAACGTTGTAGTGGTGTGTTCTTAACTAGCCTGGGATTTGCACAGGGATTTGCTGTCTTTGTCTTCTCCCCATGCACTGGTCTCTTCTGCTAGAACTATAGAAGTATGCGACCCTGTATGGCTTTTACATAGTTGATAGGGGCCTCATGCTTATGTGGCAAACACTTTATGAACTGAGCATTTCCTAGTCTGTTCAAGTTCTTAAATTTGTATTTTATAATGTATACACCTTCTTTTTGGGAAATCAGTACACTTCACATTCTTCTGATTCAGTTCCTGCCTCCAGGGTACAGCCCTGTTTGAATTCCTGGTCTCACTGCCTTCAATGTATTGTGATATAGATGTGTAGGATGTCCTTCCCAAGGTGCTTTTGGTCATAGCGTTTCATCACGGCAACAGAAACTCTAACTATGACAGAAAGTACTAGAAAGTAATCTAAATATACTTACTACAAGAAGCTGATAATTAAAATGTTGTCATCTTCAAATGGTAAAATATATTTACCAATAAAATATTCTAATTAAACATAGAATACAAATATATGCTATCAGATATAACAAATCAAATGAAAATAGTAGAAAAAGCTTTTAGTACTTATATAATCTTTTCTTTTAAAAATTTACTCTGAGAATTTCATGTGTATATAACAATCATATTCTTTCAATAAAAGAATCAATACAAATCGACATATTCTTAACAACCATATTATATGGATATTTTATAAATTATATACATAAAACTTACAACATTAAATTCTTCTCATGTAATGAAAAGCTATTATATTTTATACATAAATTATAAATAGAGATTTATATGAAATATAAAATTAATTGAAATAATTTACATAAAATTAATTTCTTATAGCTAGAAAAAACATGAGTAAACATGAATAAAAATTAAATTAGATATTACCTATAATATTTCAGCTTGCATACACAGTGTTAACAATGTAGATTCTTCATAATACTTAGGTAGTTGTAATAATTTCCTCTATTATTTTGCAAATATGTAATTTTCTCAGAAAAAAAGCTACCATAAAAACTTAACCTTCAAGAACTAGAAACAATCTATTTCCTCTTGAGTTGCCCATTGAAAGAATCAATGTGACTGATCAACAAAAGTATTTACAGAACATTGGAAAGCACAGACCTGGTTGAGATGAGCCCATGTTCTGCAGAAGCCAGCATGTGGAAGCCTATGCCTGGTAGGTTCATCCATCCCCAGGGCAAGATGCATTTCTGTCATTCCCACACTTCATGAGGGACATTAGGACTTTTAAATGATCATTCTGGCTTCAAATGCAAATCAAGGGATCATATCCCTTTTCATTCTCAGTCTCTGACCCAGTGTTATTGCTACTTTGGACAAAGCTTTCTTTTTCTTAAGATGGAGGTCTCACTATATAGTGGCTGGCCTGGAACCTGCCATGTATATAGGCAGGCCTGGAACTCATAACTATGCTCAACCTTCTTTTTAATTACACACACTCACGTGAGTCTGTGTGTGGGTATCTACAGGTAAGCTCAGTTCTTATGGAGGCAGTTGGATTCCTTGAAGCTGCAATTACAGGATGTTGAGAGCCAGCCGGTGTGGGTGGTGGGAACAGAGTTAGGGTCCTCTGTAAAGGCAGTATGTGTTTTAACTTCCAAGACAGTCTCCAGCCCTCACCAAGTGGTTAAAAGTGAGATGTTTCTGAGGATGAGTGTGTGTCTTACCTGCTCTTTCATCTCCGCATAGACCTTCTCAGAGTTCACTTCTACCTGCCGCTTAAACTCCTCCAGGGCAGCATCTGCCTGCTGGGCCTGCAACCTCTGAACCTCAGTCACACGGCAGAGCTGTTCCTCCTTCTCCCTGCAAAGTTCATAAAGCTCCAGAGTTACATGGGCAAAGGACAAAGAAGGGACTTGGGAAGGGAAAGGGGAAAATGTAACTCTTTTTAATTGCAAAATTTAAAAAGATTAAAGCCAAAAAATAACTAGGTAATAAGAAAACAAAATTAGCCCTTTCTAAAATAAAATTCAGATAGCATTTTCAGATCCATATTCTATGAAGCTTCTCTTTCAAAAGACGACAATTGAGCAATCTGTCTGGGTGAGGGCAAAAATACAATATGCATTTTGAGGAAGACATAACTATATTCAAAGATGCCCCTAAAAACAAACTATACAAAACTATGTACTTCCATTTACTGGTTGATAGATAAAATGTGGGATATCTATATAATGGAGTATTACTTAGACTTAAAAAGTAGGAACTTTTTTTATATATTCTACAACATGGAGATTATGTATATAAAATTTAAAAATATTAAGGCAAGTAAAATCGATCATAAAAATAACATTTATGGTCCCATTTATGTAAAAAGTTCAGAACTAAAATGTTGTTGTACAAAAGATTTCCACACTAGCCCAGAAAGGAGTATAATAAAGGTTTATTTATTTGGGGGTAAATTCACAGTGATCCACAGTCCTCTGTGTGCACGAGGGATTGAAACAGAATCCAGTAGCCAAGAGGCCCACACAAGCTTTTTGTCTGCATATATAGTAGATGAGACTATGCCCAAAGTGCGCCAGTACCTTAAAGGCTATTGACTGAAGGAGTTCCCACAACAACTCCCCCTTCTGTCTAAATAAGAGTTCTAAGCCTAATATAAAACTATAAACAATAAGAACAAATATCAACTACAAAAATTAGAATTACAACCAGCATGAACAACATCAAGCAAGAAACATATGCTAAATGTTTTAATAGTTATCCTATTCTAAGGAGTCTAAGTCTTATATTAGAAATGGCTTGGCTAAGTCGTGAGAGGAAAGTAACAACAACTATCTAGTCTTCAACCCCATCAAAGACCTGAGAAGGGAAAATAATAACATAAAAGATTTCCACACTAGCCCAGAATGGAGTATAATGAAGGTTTATTTATTAGGGGTAAACTCACAAAAAGAGTAGTGATCCACAGTCCTCTGTATGTGGAGGGAACTGGAATGAATACAGCAGCCAAGGGGCCCATGCACGCTTTTTGTCTGTATATACAGTACATGAGACCACGCCCAAAGTGGGTCAGTATCTTAAAGGCTATTGGCTGAAGGAGTTCCCAGAGTACTGGAAAACCTATACTCAGAAAATAAATCTGTTGCTGGGGACTATCAGAATGTTGGACAGGAGATTGGTTACTTGTATGTGGCTTCCTTTTGAGCCATGAGTATGATATGGAATTGGATAGTGGCAATAGTTACAAATTTCTCTATTAAAAGTCTATCAAATTATACTTTTTACACAAGGGAGTATAATGGCATGTGAATTCTACTGCAGTTTTAAAAATGCATCATGTCAGTTAGAAAGACATATACACACCATCTGTTGCCCTGCAGATGGTCAAAGCAACAGAACCATAGTGGCCTAAAACTGTTTTTATTAGTTCACCTGCCTAAAACTGATGGCCATCACATCTGTTCATACATCATACTGAACTGTACCCTCAAAAGGATGTCACAAAGCAACAGAAATCTCCACATATTGGTAGATGGAAAATATGAACCATTAACTTATAAATGCATTCAAGTTGTGAAGCTCTGACTAGGCTTTTGTGAATTAACCAAAATATTTGTATATAGCATCTTTTATATATCTTCACAATAAAATAAGCCCATGCAAGAAGTACTCTGTCCTTTCTCTTATAGAACAGGAAACTGGGGCTTGGACACATTTCTAAGGTGATCATCCTTGTGGGAGCTCCAGCCAGGACTCCATAGTTGAAGTGGGCCTCCAGACTGCCTGCTGGTGGCCGCCTCACTGTGATGTTTTCCTGACAAAATAGGCTATCTTCCTTCCCTATTGGCAAGTTCATATAAACACACAAAACTGCCTATTCCTAACTGTAACAATGACAAATGCCAAGTGATAGAACAATTTAAGTCTTGTAAATCAATATATGAATTTTATCACGGGAGGAAACAGCTTTCCCAAACCATCTATTATGTTACTGCCTTTTAAAGGGTGAGCAGAAAGAACTTGAGATTTCTGGAGTTACTCAGATGTGAGTTTACAATCCTCCCTCTAAGATATGTCACTACAGGTTCTCCTATAGACACATACATATTTTATATCAGAATGTCAAATTTCTCCCTGACTCCAACAAGGAAACCTTTCCCAAGCCTGAGTGGTCAACAGACTGATAGGGAAAAGTGGCATGTAGCTTCCACTTAAGCAGGACTCCTCAGTCTCTTTATAATCAGACATTATACATGGAGGTTAGTTCTTCCCAGATCCCATCACCAATCCACCCTGTGTTTGGGCATAGCACATCTGTACCTAAGGAACCCTTTGCATATGGGATAAATGAACATGCCATGAATCTTCATCTCCATGTAAGAACCACCTGTGTCTATTTATCTGTTCAAATCCTCATCTACATCTATCTTCTTGGACCCCGATAATAATCACAGTAGCACACCCTGACAAACCCATGTCTTCCACTGGAATCCCTCCTCCTCTTTATAAAGATAGTCATCATTTGCATATCCTGTGGGGTTTAAGGCTGTTCCACAGCATGTGACACCAAGCATGGGAACAAAGCCATTCTAATCAGGCTTCAGGCCAGAAGCTGCTTACAATCACTACACTTTACAGCAATGGGTACAGACTTTTGGAACTTTGAAAACCTTTGCTTCAGGTGTTTGTCTTATTTAGTGGTGTGTGTGTGTGTGTGTGTGTGTGTGTGTGTGTGTCTGTCTGTCTGTCTGTCTGTCTGTCTGTCTGTGAGTGTGTCTATGTGTGTGTGACCCACACACATGAACACACATGCTAGTACACGTGCGTAGGTGCACATGCTTATGTGCATGTAGAAGCAGAGGACAGCCTCAGGTATACTCTGGAACCATGCACTCTTTGTTTGAGCTGGTATCTCATTGGTCTGCAACTCATCAAGCAGGTTGGGCTGGCTGGGCCCAGAACCTGGTGGCCAGGGAGCAGGGAGATTTCATTGCTTTGCCTTCTTGCTGGGATTGTAAGCATGAGCCACCGCACTCAGATTTTTAACATAGGTTCTGGAGACTGGCCTCCTGTCCTGATGCCTGCACAGCAAACACTTTACCACCTGTGCATCTTCTCAGCCCCAACATGTTCATATTTAACAGAAAGAAAACTATCTTTTTGCCTACTAGTTTTCCAACACATTTTAAAACAAATGTCTTCAAGGTTAATGGAGTTATAAGTTGCAAGGTCCAAATAATAGTAAGGATTTTTTCCCACTTAACATTGTAAACTCTTAGATAACAGTGGTTAATAATGTCATGTGGAAGACTGACCCTAAGATATCACTATATAAAACATCAAGCACTCCGATGGCTATTAGAGCTTTAATTTAGTTTGGTGCATCTACACTCTATATTATTCTGCCCAAGAATCAGAAAGCCTTGATCTGTATATACAAACAACATTGCTATATATACTGAACAAAATGATTGACTGTTAAAATCTTCGCATATTGAAACTACATATAGGAACACTGTAAAGTCATATAACTATAGCCACCAAAATCTAAACTTTAGGAGGCAAGTGGATGTTCTCTGGTAGGATAGTCCCAAGTGACAGCAAGAGGCTACTTGTTTCTTCTGTTAGAGGCTCAAAGAAAAAGAAGTTATGGTAGGTACCTGGTGACCTCATTTCGGTGTTGGGTTAGGCAGGGCAAGGGATATTCATCCATTGCTTAGAGATAAAAGGGACCAACTTATGCAATTCTTTAAGTGCTGAGACACTTAAAAACATTTGAGAAATGTTTTAGATGAAACTTCATCAAACATTTACCTATGTTTACCTATACATAGAAAAGAAACAGTACTGGATAATATTTGAAAAATCAAATATTTAAACACTACAGTTTAAAATTATACACCATAAGTTTACCTAAAGAAAATCTGTTAAAAACAATGTAAAAATATATAACCTAAAGCAGAAATAAGCATTTGAAAAATTATTTAATTATATGTGTAATAGTTCACAGGAGGAGTCTAAATACTTTAAATTTAATAGGACAAATCTTTTCTTCACATCAGTTCAATGAGCATCTAAAATCATAAATTTTAGCCATCATCAATATATTTTATAGACCATTTAAAATGTCCCAATAAATTCTGTACATGTTCTCAATTCACAACTTCTATCTTGATTGAGAACTAGTATTTTTAAAAATTATGAAATAATAAGCCCAAGGAGCTAGATAGATGGCCCAGTGGCTAAGCATGTACAGTACTCTTTCAGAAGACTTGGGTTTAACTCCCAGAACAACGTAAGGTGGCTCATGGCTGCCTGAACTCCAGCTCCACAAAGATCCAACACATCTGGCCCCTGTGGGCACCTGCATTCATATCTACTTACTCCTCCATGCAGACAATTTAAAATACATTTTAAAAAATAGTGAGCAAAGGGAGATGTCAGAAATCTGGCTGGTGTAAGGCCCTCCACAAGGACTGCTCTAATCACACAGTATAAAGAAGGTCTCACTCAAGGCAAATCAGTGTATTTGCTCAGTCTGGCATGTACATTCATCTCCACGCATTTAGGATTCTTATGTCTTGGTGTAGATTGTCTTTAGCTTTATTTAAATAAAAAATGATCATTTTAATGAGCTCCATTAAACTTACACAAGGTGCAAAAATAGAAGTAAAACTTTAAGCCTTTCAGCCAAAGATCTTTTCCTAGAGGTCATAAAATGCTGTACAAGAGACAAAACAGAGGGAAAAAAGTGACTTTCAAGATTATTCTTTCAGTGGACTCATGCAGCTGAGGATTAATGCATCACTCAAATTCCTTAAAGCTGGACTTCCATGAAGATAAAAAGGTGGAAAGAA